AATATAAATTTTTGGGGTCAAGTATCATACAATTTAAAAGACCGAACTACACTTCATCATTAATGGGCACATGTTTCTCTCTGGCCTCTCACCGAAGGACCGAAATCGTCTCCAATGGAACAGGAGATCTGTTCTCCCCGGTTCTTACTGTTCATGCACTGTAGCGGCAATAAAAATGGCCAACAAGGACTTTGGGTAAAAAAAGGTATATATATATATATACACACACACACACATATACGAAATTATATATATACACATATACGAATTTATACCTATTTAAACTCAAATTTAAGCGCCAAATTGAAAATTCCAAAACAGATTTAGCGCCTCTTCTAAATTTCTAATCTTTTTTCTTCTCTCTCCCAAAATATATAAATAAATAAATTCCTCTTCCAAAAAAAGTCTCAACTATGTTTTCCTTAATTTTCTTCTTTCCAAAGGTTTAATTGAACGTCAGAGAAGACAAAGCTACAGTGACAAAGCTATAGCGTCTCTTCTTAATCTTCTTTCTTCTTCTCTCCCAAAATATAGAAAGAAATAAATTCCTCTTCCAAAAAAAGTCACAGCTTTCCTTAATTTTCTTCTTTCCAAATTTACAATTTCTTTCCAAAGGTTTGATTGAATGCTAGAGAAGATGAAGCTACAGTGTCCTATGTTTGATTGAACGCTGAGGAAGACGAAGCTACAGTGTACTGGTTTTGTAAGTGAATTTGTGAATCGTATGACATTGTGTTTCATTAGTTTTGTTTGGTTATTCTTGAACTGTTATTAAATTGTGAAAAATTGAATGAGAAATTTTGAAATTTATATTATTAAATTGTGTAAAAGTTGTGATATTATGTATTATAAGTTATGTTATGTTTTAAACTTTTAATTTAAGATGTTAGAATAAATTTTTCATTATATTCCTGTAATGTAGTGTTTTTTTCATGATAAATACTACAAAATAGTTGGGATATTCTGTATAATAAGAAATGGAGGTTGAATGGAGGTTTTACACTTCCAATTTAAGATATTAGAATAAATTTTCCATTGTATTCCTGTAAGTTTCCATTAAGAGTTATGATTGTTCATTATAAATAACTTAGCATGGTTGTAATGTTTCTCAAAATAAGCCCAAAAAAGTTTGCAAGTCCATGTTTGATTTGGAAAAAGTTATATGAATAATTTAACATAGTTGTAAATTTTATGAAAATAGAAGGCCCAAAAAGGTTAGAAGTGCATGTTTGAGTTGGAAAAAGTTAAATAAATTATTAATTTTGTTATTTGTAGCAAAATTAAAATATGTGCAATTGAGGAAATTGGATCCCTGATACATTATGCTATCTTGAATAATGTTAATAGGTCAGAAAATTATTACAATTAATAATCCATACCTATAACTTTGTTCAATTTTTTTTTTCTTTCTTTTTTTTATTTTTTTATTTTTTTATGTTGTAGGTTTCTTATTTAAATTATTAGAATGGAAGAGGTATTAAATAACATTAGAAACACCACATATACAGAAAACGCTCCTATTGCAGGGGCCGATGTCGTAGAATGGAAACCAGGAATAGGCATGAAGTTTGAAATTGAAAAAGAGGCATATGATTTCTATAATTCATATGGCGATCGAATCGGTTTTAGCATTCGCAAAGAGTATTTTAATAAGGGCAAGAAGACTGGTAAATTGTTATCGAGATTGTTAACATGCTGTAAGGAGGGTTTTAGGGTTAACGACATTCGGAATAGTAATACAAAGACTCCCAAGGCCGAAACACGAACTGGTTGCCTTGCTCGAATGCTTATATAAGTTTCCAAGTATACCCATAAGTTGAAAGTTACAAAATTTGTTGAAAGCCACAACCATTCATTGGTGATTGATGAATGCATGCACATACTGCCATCTCAGCGTAGAATTACCCGCGTTCAAGACATTGATTTGGAATTGGCTTCTAATTCAGGAATAACCCCTCGCAATTCATATGAGTTGATGGGAAGGCAAGTTGGTGGAAAGAATCAGTCAGGTACATGAAGTTGGATTTACAAAATCATATAAGGACCCGAAGAGAAAATGAGCTTGAATAAGGAGAGGCAGCATGGCTAATGAATTATTTTGAGACTCAATGTTATGAAGATCCATCTTTCTTTTATGCATTCCAATTGGATAGTGATCAAATGATCACAAACATATTCTCGGCTGATTTAAAAATGATAGTTGATTATTGCAATTTTGGAGATGTTGTAAGTTTTGACACAACATACAAAGTTGTACATTGCAACCGTCCATTTGAAAGTTTCTTGGGGTTGAATCATCACCGGGAGACTGCTGTGTTTGAAGCAGCGTTCATGTATGGCGAGACTGCAGATTTGTTTATTTGGTTGTTTCAAACGTTTTTTAAAGCAATGTCCGGTAAAGCACCAAAAACGATCTTCACTGATCAAGATGCTGCAATAGGAAAGGCATTGACGCAGGTGATTTCAATTCAGATCTCCACTCTTTGCATTTCCTTTTGCATTGTGTAGTTGGCAGTGGTACATGTTATTATGTAGTTATATTATAGAAAATAATTTTGTAGGTGATGCCAGGGACAAAACATTATCTGTGTGTTTGGCACCTAATGCAAAATGTACAGAAGCATCTAGTGTTCTTGTTAAGACGTGACCAAGGCTTAAAGAATGTGTTATCAAAATTAATGTTTCAAATTGAAGAGGAGGAAAAATTTACCAGGGAATGGAATTTAATGATAACGGAATATGGTCTTGTTGGTAACACGTGGCTTACAAATCTGTTAGGTTTGAAACATAAATGGGCCATGACATTTATCAAACATGCCTGGTCTACGGGTATCTACAGCACACAACTTAGTGAAAGCTTCAATGGTTGCTTGAAGGCATACTTATCTAGGCAACTGATTCTTCCAGATTTTTTCACACACTTTGAAAGGCTGTTGTCTGACAAGCGTTACAAGGAGTATGTAGCCGAGTATGAGTTGCTCCACAATCTACCTCAACTAAAAACAAACTGTAACATATTAGTAGAGGCAGCAAACCTGTACACAAAGGTTATATTTGATATTTTCCAGGAGGAGTTCTTAATAGCTGGTGCCAGTTAGAGGATCATTGGTTGCAGTCCCATCGATGGCAACGGAGGCTATGTTTACAAAGTTGTCGAAGAGGATGGGATGCAACGCGACATGACGAGGACATCAGAAGATGAATTGTTATGTTCTTGTTGTAAATTTGAAATGGAGGGTATTATGCGCAGGCATAGTTTGAAACTCCTAAAGCACTCCATGTTTGCCAATACATTGACTCGTTGATATATATTAAGAAGGTAGACTAGAACTGCTAGAGATGGAAGCTTGAAGGAAAATCTTTCCGATGAAGTGATTGCTAATGCAAATCCAAAAATTGAGGTTAAGAGATGGCACAGGGTACTTTGTCGTGTTTTGATAGAAATTTCATCCATTGCATCGGAGGATAAGGACGGATACAATGATTTGTTACTCAAAGCCATGGAGTGGAAAAAAATTACCCAATCAAATTGTAGGCGTAGGTTTGCTGAGAGGAATGCAATTTATAGTGGTCGTAAATGCAAAAACCAATATTTGGGGAACAACATAAATAGTGAGAAAATCCCCAATGGGCTCAAGTGTAAAGATACACGGAAAGAAAAATTTAAGAAGTTAAAATTGACCATGGAGCTAAAGAGTTGCAATAAGACGAAATCAATGAAACGAACAGTTCAGGTTGAGGTACTTCTATCCCTTTACTGTTTTCCAAGTACTTTCATAAGTAAAACTCGTTCTGTGTATTAAATTATGCATACGTAATAATTCTCATAATTGTGTTGTAGAATTGCAATAAAGCCCTTCAATCCGGAGAGGTAGGTGGCAGTAGTCATAGTCGAACAATCCCCTACCATGTGTTATTAAAAATTTTAACCCTTTTCAAGTAAAATCATTTTCGAAGTGATATTTAAATTGTATCATCATTGCGTACAATTAGATTTTTTAGGTGGTTTAATTACACTTGATTGAGTTATTAAATAATCCTAGAATTTCAAAATGGACTGGTTGATCTCATCTAATGTACCGAATTTCAATTTTGGATAAAGGATTGATTAATATCATTAAATGGGATGGACGGGAGACTTTTGGCTTGTTTTGATTATTTTCTGAATCAAAATTCTTGTTCTCACACAACACTGTAGCTTAATTTGTGATGGTTTCTTTCTCGTTTACGTTCAGTTTGTTTCGACGTAAAAATATCTTTTTTAAAAATTATTTTTTCTTTTCAAGTAAAATATTTATTTTTATTTTTTGGTATTTGGCAAAGGTATAGGAGGTTGAGGTCGAGTGAGTGATAGCAATAGGGCGGTTTAGGGCAAGGATCTCATTCCCCATCCCTATCCCTGTTTAATTTTTTTACCCCATAACCTCCCCAAAATCCACCCGATTTTTCAAAGCAACCGTAATCCCGTCCCCATTTACGCAATTGGTTCTTCAAAATTGCTCCAAACAAAGCAGGCCCCGCCAAGGTGGAGATTTTTGCTATCCCTTCATATAAACTTAACATATTTTAGCAATATATTATAATATGTAAGGATAATTTAATAAATTTATAATATATTATGAGCAGAATGGGACTAGGCAACTACCCCCAAAACCTCCTCAAAAGCCGTGGGCTTTTTTAAAGTAGCCTCCATCCCATTCCCGTTTACATAATTAGTTTCCCAAAACTGCCCCAAAACGTGGCGGGCTGAGGCGAGGCTCAGGTGGGGTGGGGATTTTTGCCATCCCTAGCCGAGTCCATTTAGTGGTGCGTGTAAAATAGCTTGTCGAAAATTGATTGATAAGTTACTTTTGTTAGATTTTAATATATTTTTTTTAATATTTTACTACAATCAAATACCAAAAAAAAATTTATTTTTCTAAAAAATATTTTACATTTAAACAAACAAATGCTTAAGTCAATCTAATTTTACAGGAATTTTATACGGTATGATTACTTACACTGGCTATTGTTCCATTATTCCTCCATGCTTGTAAGATTTCAAGCTATGGTTCCATAATGCCTCCATGCTCGTAAGATTTCAAGCTCCGGACTGTCTTATACATGGTTTGAAAAAAAATATATTAATATTCTGAAGTAAAAATGAGGAAGTAAAGAAATTGTGAAAAATCACTTTGAAGCAAATTTGTATCTGTAGTTTATTAGGTTGGTTGTGCGTGTATATATATATATATATATATATATATTAAGGATTTGATATCTGTATAACACTCCATTGTAAGTTTATTTCTATTATGACACCCCAAGTTTTTTTAATCCATTAAAAAATTCAACCAAATTAACAAATTTCAAACAAAAAAACAAAACAAAAACATTTTTAATAGACGCAAACCATGCCATACAAACACAGATAAAAATAGTGAAATTCCCTCTCCTTGTCTCTCCACTCCTCATTCTCACGTATCTTTTCCTCATTTTTTTTTATAATTAATTCAAAACAAATAAATTGATTTCACCCTCATTCTCACATCTCTCTTCCTCATGTTTTTCTTTATTAATTCAAAAAAAAAAATTGTTGAAATCAAATTTTAGATTTTATTGAAATCTTAATTTTAGTTAACACTTCATGTGCCAGACTTGCAAAATTTTACTCGTGTATATTACCAATTTACCATGATGATGTATTAAAATATTTGGTTGGATTGTACTCGGAACTAAGTTTAAGATTGGAAGCTTAATTTTAAGGCTTTGTCATCTCTCACTACCACCTCTAGAATGTCATAACTACTTAATATTCTTTTCGACAATTTTTCCTTTTAACAAATTGACAGTTTTACAATTTTTCCTTTTTTAGTATTTATAAACTAAGAAAAACAAGAAAGTTATCCAATTATGTACAATATGAAATAACAGAAAATAAAAAAGCAAAAATAAAACACAAAAATCCTCATTCTCGAATCAAACCAAACAAACAAAAATCCTAGTACTCGAATCAAACAAAACAAACTCAATACAACTAAATCACAAACTCGTGAATCAAACCACATATATTAGTTTCCTCCAATATCACATCCATTCTATTTTTTGTCTAAGTCAATTATATTCACCATTTCTATGTAACAAGAAAAGTATGTCACACTCAATATAAGAAGAATTCATACAAAATGGTGTGGTGATCCGTTCATACTACGTGCATTAAAATGTACAAAATCTGCTTCATATTAAATGCATTAAAATGAAATGATTCCCATGCTATTTTACATTTCTTGGCAACAGTCCCATTTACCTAAAAAAAAAGTCCAAGAGTTTTGTCAAGATTTCAAGTTAATACTTGTTAAAATTTATACCTAAATTCATTTCAAATGAAACCTTAACGAGATACAATATGATTGGAGAAGATTCTGTACTGCTATTGCCCTAAGTCAAGGCTTAAATAAAAATAGTCTTTTTATCTGCCATGCTTATTTAAACTTTCTTCATTGAAGGATATTTGCTACGTAAAAATAAAAAATAAAAGAAAAAAAAAAATGCTACGTAATTACGTATTAAGGGTTATAAATTAAGTTACATAAAGCAAAAGCCAGCTCAACAATTTAAGAGCGGGCAAATTACGGGAGGACACTTGGAACGTAAAAGCCGCACGATTGAAAAGAATTGTTGACAGTTATAAATCACTTATTAAAGTAACTCTAGGCCTTTATTTACTTGTGATATATAATAAATAATGAAATTAATTTCCACATGAGTTACCTTAATTAAATTTTAATTTTAACTCTTATTGAAAATAGTAAATTCAAAATTAGTGTAGAGAGTGAGAGATGTTCAACTTTTATTTACAATTTGAATATTTTGTTACACAACCCAATTTCTAAGGGTAATTTTATTTTTTCTAAAATTATTTTTTAATACACTCTTATATTTCGTACCATTAATAGATGACTTAATTGCATTCATTTTATTTTCCAGCTCCCCATGTAATTAAAAAGAAATATTTTATTTTCTATATTTTGGGTGAAAAAAAGTCATAACTTAAAAACTCAATTGCCTAGTATAACATAGTTTATATGTAAATTAAACTATTTTTGCAAATTAATTAATTCATAAAAATCGTACTTCAATATCCTAAGTCAATCATTTGGAATAATTTGAGTTTGAGAATTTTTTTTAACTTCATAGTCCGGACCAATCACAACTCGATATATAAATAAAGATATCAACTTTATATAAATTTTGCTTATATGTCAAGTTGGGTTGTTCAGACTAGAATAATTTTTTAAAAACTATGAATTCTATTAAGAAGTGGGATTCTCTACTCTATTAGGATGCACAATTCTCGCATATTAATCTAGAATCCGTATTTGCTTTTAATGATTAGAAATATAAACCATATTTGTTCCTTTTGAAGCTACAAAAGAGTTTTGATGTGTTATTTATTTATTTATTTATGTCGTTAATATATAGAATCCGTCAGTACAAAATGGAAAGGCTTGAAACAAATTTACTTAAATTAAAAGGAGGCAGGCCATCAAAAAAAAAACTTTAATTGGACCGGAACTGATTTATATGAAGTAACAAGAAAAAAGTGAGGAAACTAAATTAAATAGGGATCATAGTTTTTGGTAGAACCACATTTAAAGGTCTTAAAGAGACAATTTTACAATAATATGAAAAATAGTACCCCAAAACAATATATCTCTGACAAAATAAGACACTATAAGAAAAAAAGGGCTTCTACAAGGGGCCAAAAACGCCATGGAAACCTATTCACGGCGCATTCTAGGCCCTCGTGTATGAGGGTTCTGTAAATATTCAATTTTTTTTTACGCCAAAAAATTTATCTCGTAGAAAAATAATAGATTCGCCGTAGAAATAATTTTGTTTATATATATTAAATTTATTTATACGTTAATAATTAACCTACGAGGTGCCGAGGCATGCCATAGAAAACTTTTCTACGGCGAATTGTAACTACCCGTAGAAAACTCATGAGACACCATTTCCTGTCGTAGAAAACTTTTCTACGGCGAAGTGGAACTACCCGTAAATAATCTCACGAGGTACTGAAAGATATAATATAAACCATTCTCGCCACTTCCCATCTGCCGTAGAAAAGTTATTTAAGAAGAATTTTCACTTATTTACGGGATTTCAAGCTCCCCGTAAATAAAATATATATATATTTTTTATATAAATAAAACACCCTTAATTAATTTCAATTAATCATCCACTATAATTCACATCACTTTCAGATATAATTTAATTCAAAAAACATATATATCCCATTAAATATATCAAAAGAGTTAGAACATTTTTACAATTCATCATTTATCAATGTTCTAAAATAGGAAGTACATCCATTTGTGAAGAAAATCATCAATTTCTTAACACTTCTGTTGAAAAATTGATAAACCTTCTAGCACTTGAGTTTCAGTCTGCACTTGTCAAAAAACCACCTCACTATACAAAAAATCCAAGAAAGTAACTGCAAAATCCACGGTACAAAATCCAAGAAAGTAGCTACATCACACAAGTCTCAAATTCAGAATGCTAATAAAAAGGGAAATAATAAGATTATCATTTATGATTCAAACGCAAACATTTTGCTAATAATTTTTTCTTTAGATCTGCCAAAAATATTTCAAGCAGATAATTTTCCTTAATTGAATACTAGATTTTTGCAAGGATGTATAAGAACAGACAATATCATAATCTCTTTATATTCATGAATAATACAATATCATAATATGTAGTCTCTTTATCTCATAATTATGAGCAAATCTGAAACATACTGAAACAAATCTGAAATATTGTAGGTTTTTGGTGCAACAATTATGAGCAAATCTGAAACTTTGAATACAAGTCAAGTCTTATATATAGATATATATATATATATATATATATATATATACTATCTCAGTTTGTTGTTAGCTTAATTTATATATATTTTCTTTTTATGTTCTATGTTAATAATTTTTCAAATTTTTCGTTTTTGGGCTGCAGTAGGATTTATGGGTCATATTTTGGTCCAAATTATTGTAATGAACCTTTGTTCATAGTTTAATTAGTTAAAGTTTATATGTTTTTATTTATTTCTTTAACCTAAGCAAAATTCTCAAGTTTCTAAATAAGACTCCAAATCTTATAAGCTATGAGTGCTTCAATTAAGTAGAGAACATCTTTTACAGGAATTTTCCAACAAACCTTAAGTGTGATGGTTATGGGAATCTAGGGTGATCGTTCTACTCTGTTGGTCCCTAAAATGCCTCTCTTGAGGTTTGCTCTTTTAATGACAAAATGCATGTTTAAATGGCTAAATGCAATTCGATCATGGTTTATTGGCATAGGCTAAATGCAAACAGATATAAGCTCATTACTCACGGGAGTTTCAAAGAAGTCATTGCAGCCTTTATAAGTTAAAGAATTCTGTGACAACACACTTAATTAGCCTACAGCCTTTATAAGGGCATTTTTGTCATTATACACATCATTATATTCATATTATAATGATTTGGCTAGTTGGTTGTTAGGCTTGGCTTGAAAAACTAATGATCCCCAAATTAAGATTGAGATTGGTTTCTTTATCTCTGCAACTGATGCCAAACTAGATTTTAATTTCGAGCTCTCTTCAAGAAACTGTAAAACTCCATTTCATTGTGCAATGTAGTTGTTAGACTCTTCATTAGTGAGGAGCAGAGTGCTTTAGTTCCAAATAGGTTGATCACAGATAATAAACTTATTGCACGTGATGTGGTGCATTTTTAAAACTAGAAGGGGGAGGAAAAATAAGTTTATGGCAGTTAAGCTTTACATGGCAAAGGCATATGATAGGGTGGCATGGGGTTATGTCCAGAAGGTTTTGCACATCTTGGGATTTGATGATAGATGTATTCGGGTCGTTATGGTTACTGTTGGTACTGTATCCTATTATGTTTTGGTGAATGGTTATGCAGGGAATCTTTTTTGTGCCCTCTAAAGGACTTCGGCAAGGCGATCCACTTTCACCTTATCTCTTTCTCTTGTGTGCGGAGGGTTTAACTAGATTAATTCAACTAAGCAATCCGAGATGGAGTTTTTCCTGGTATCAAGATGCATAGGAGTTGTCCTATTGTGTCGCATATGCTTTTTGCTGATGACTCTTTAGTATTTTGTAAAGCTGACTTCTGTGAATTGAATGTGTTGAGACAGATATTGCTCAGATATGAACGATTAACTGGATAGCAAGTAAATTATATAAAATCATCTATTATTTTTAGCTGAAATGTAACTATTGATGACGGAATTGAATTGACTAGAAGGTTGGGTGTTCAAGCTTGAGGAAGTTTTTATAGATACTTGGGTTTACCTGCTGAGATTGGAAGGCCAAAAAGGTAAATCTTTCAGTATCTTGAGGACAAAATGGTGGCAAAAATCAAGGAATGGAAGGATTGTTTCTTTTCTGCCTCTGGGAAGGAGAGACTAATAAAATCTGTTCTTCAAGCCATTCCCACGTACACAATGAGTTGCTTTAAGATTCTTACTGGGATATGCCGAAAATTAAGTAAAAATATAATGCACTTTTGGTGGGCAGGGCGTAAGGAGGAAAATATGATATGTTGGCTGAAATGGGATCAATTGTGTAGAAATAAGAAACATGGTGGTCTGGGGTTTGGAGAACTACAGGTATTCAACCTTGCTTTATTATCCAAATATGATATGTTGGCTGAAATGGGATCAATTGTGTAGAAATAAGAAACATGGTGGTCTGGGGTTTGGAGAACTACAGGTATTCAACCTTGCTTTATTATCCAAGCAAGGATGGAGACTTGCAGTTGAAGATGGTGGCTTGTTGTCAAGAATTTACAAAGGTAACTATTTTTCAGAGGCTTCTTTTTTGGAGGCTAGAGTAAGAAAGAGCTCCATCTGGGCTTGGAAAAGCATGTGTAGTTGCAGAGAGGTTCTCAAGAGAGGTTTGCGATGGAGGGTGGTTACAGGTGATAGTGTTAATGACATATGCTAAAGATAGACTAGTGTGGCACTTCACTAATGATGGAAACTTTATGGTTAAATCTGCTTATAGAGTTGCATTTGAATGGCCGCAAGGTCCACATCACAGTTCCGGTCCTTCCGGATATGCCAGGAGGATTGGGGATTGTGTAAATGCTCATGGTTTTTGGAGTCAGCTATGGAATCTGAAGGTGAAGGAAAAATTGATCCATTTTATTATGGGACTATTTCCGTATCATCAAATCTAAAGAAACGAGGTATAATAGTAGAAGATGATGTAAGTTTGAGATGTGGTTTGGAGGTGGAATCTATAGACCATGTTATTCTGAGGTGCCCATATGCAGTCAAAGTCTGGAAGCTGTGCCCAATTAGACTGGACCAAGTACTTTTTACTGCTTCTTCTAGGGGATCAATGGTTTTGCAGCGTATTGAAACTATGGGAGAAATCCGCTGACAAGATTCACAATTTAAGTCTGGTGGTGTATATTTGTTGGCATATTTGGAGAAGTCCAAATAAATTTTATTTTGATCAGCAAGTCATTGAGGAAAGAGTTCTGGTTCAGCTTGCAACACAACAGTGGCATGAGGTTAAGGATGCATTGGGTAATAGTCGCGACACTGTAGGTGGTATTGGAAATGGAGATGGTTTGAACAAGCAGCCAGTAAGATGGATTGCACCATCAGATGGTAAGCTCAAATTGAATTTTGATGCAGCTTTTAGAGCTCAAACAAACAAATAAAGGAGGCTGCAACTGGTTTAGTCCTCAGGAATTCGAATGGAAAGTTTTTGAAAGTGGTCATTCGCTTCTTCCCTATGGCGGCAACAGCCTTAGTAGCTGAAGCTATGTCTACTAGATTAACCTTAAAGTGGGCAGTAGCATGGTAGTTAACTGAGGTGGTGATTGAGGGAGACTGCAAATTAGTGATCTAGCCGAAGAATGTTGCAGTGAGCATTGCATCCATTTATGAGGATATTTGTGTTGATCAACAAATGCATGATCAGTGGAAGATAGAGTGGGTCAAGAGAGAAGATAATAGAATGGCTCATTTTTTACTAGTATGTCATTTTTATGTCTTCTTCCTTTAAGTAAAGGTATAAACAACATATCAACAACTTCTCCTCCACAACAATCAATCAAAACCTCCACATACAATGATCCCATACTCCCATGCTTTCAACATTTTAAAACAAGAAATAAAATTTAATGGCCTCCACATGGGCCGATGTACCAATAAGGTAATAAAGGTCAAGATACACTGCAAAATTGGTCACTTTAAGGCACGTGACCCCCCTAAGTATGAGTATAAAAAGCATTAAAATTGTGCAATCATAAAAGAAGCTTAGTATTTGACCTTTGTTGTAGACTGGAATCATAGAAATTCTGATTCTTCTGCTCCTAATGAACTGGCGATAATCAATCCTATCAGAAAAAAATATTTCAAAAATGTAATGCCAACAAATACATAAAAAATCAGATCGTATAAGTATAAAAAGCATTAAAATTGTGCAATCATAAAAGAAGCTTTGTTCGTTCTATGAAGAAACTAGGGTTCCTATTTTGAATCTTCGATATCAGGTAAGTCTCTTTTATTTGATTTATGTGTTTTCTTCTTTTCATAAATTTTTATTAGATTTAGGTCATCCTTTAATCTGTATTTTGTTTTTTTTGGGTACTCTGTGTAGAGATTATTTAGCTATAAATTATTAGTATCAGAAGGGAAAAAACATCTGTAACATCACTTTTTTATTTTTTATTTTTTTCGGTAATTAACTGTAACATCAAGTTCTATGATGATAAAGCCCATCTCTAAATGCAGAAGAATAAGAAGATTGAAAGAGAAAGGAAGGAAGAATTAGATAGATTTGAAAAAAGGGGGCATTTTGTAAATTTTCAAAACAATACATACATAAAAGTTATATATATATATGGATTTAGATTCTCATTGATAAATCATATTAAGAATTTTTTTTTCAGATTTAGAAACATAAGTATACTTGCTCTCACATGAAAGTGTATGTACACCTATTATTATAATAACAAATACATTATCCTTAGAAGATCATGAAGGATCACTGCATGCTCATAACTTAAGCTTACCCACTCTCGAGGGGAATAAAAGTTTAGCACGAAAAGCTATTAACGAAGAGGCCAGTGATAGCTCAAGTAGTGAAATTGAAGACGAAATTGGTTTGTTTCACTTGCAAATTTAAGAAATGAAGTGCAACTAACAAACAAATTGTGATACATCCAAATACTTGAATCATGTTCTCAGCACTTTGTTTAGATTCATTCAAACTATCGGATTTCAATTAATTATATCCCATGATATGATATTAATAATCCAAATAACAAAATCTAAACATCTGATATACTAAATGCACCACGTTTTCTATATCTTCACCAAAATTAAATTGACGAAATTTCAAACAAATTGCTATGTTAAATTCTACCAAATCCGAAAGCAACAGGAGTCTTGATGTAGAATAAATTACAGCTAAATGAAGACAAAGGAAAGAAACACGAAAATATGAGAACACTTACAATGCTTTCCAGTGTTTTCAGCAAGATCCTCAACCTTCTTAGCGGCATCTTCAACCTTCTTTCCCCATTTCCCTAGATCAAAAGAAATCAGTACTCAATAAATAAAAAAAATGCATACTCCTACAAGTAAATAATCCACATTCCAGCACGAATTTGGCTTGGCCACCAGACTCCAACTAATGAGGGAAAAAAAGGAATTAGTTTTTTTCTTTTGTGTTATAATGGGAGAACACACGGAAATGTATATTGGATATTATATAGTACAACAAGCTTCGTCAAATTGGTTAAGAGGAAATAAATATTCTAGTTTCTTTAAAGTATTGAGAATTTCAAGAACTTCCTAACAAAGTAACTGAAAATATATCAATCCACATGAACTAATTGATGTTAAAGACATTATGCAAACTAAAGAAACTTTAATATTTACTCCAAATTCTGATCTTATCATCCAAGCACTGTCCTTCATAGAATCCAAGAAACTATGTTGCATTGAGTCTACTAAATGCATACACAAAACACATATTATGAGTATGGATATGGGAAGTGTCTCCAACACGTTTTGATATAAGTTGGCTACATAATTATGCATAAAAAATAAAATGTAAAAAAACTCTTATTATGTCCCTTTCATTACATATTTGCTTCAAAATGAGTGGAATTTGAAATAAACCCTCCATCTTACACAAAAAAAAAACACCATTCTACCATGGTAAATATAGGAACATTAAAAATATGAAAATTAGTTGCACTCCTATATCCTCAAATTATTAAATTTGACAAATCCAAGCACTTAGACACAGACCGAAGTCCATATAGCATAGAAAAATTCCAACACAGATGATAGGAAATGCAATACACAATTATTTGAAAAAGAAATGTAAAATAGATGGGAGAATTTTCTGTTTAAAGGAAATTCAAGGGAAAAAAATATATATGCTTAGAGGAAAATTTGTTATTTTCATAATACCATTTGTTTGTTGTGTGCCCCTGCAGGTCTCAACAACCTCAAAAACACAAACGTGCACACAGAGGAATAGGAAAAAGAATAAAAAGAAGAAACCACTAATTCAATAATACAGAATGGACTTGTCTCACAATAGGGATTGTGGAGATACGTTGCCAAGGGGCAGACTTTTCAACCTGGTCCAGAGTCTGGTTCTCAGAAATAATCAAGAACTAAGAAAAATTGGAGCAATCAAATTCAACAACCATATCCTCCTACTCTCTCTCGGTCTAGGCTCTAAGCCAGTACTGCAGTTGCTAGTCCTCAAGCGAAGAAGAAGAGCATGACAGAGAAATCTAGGGGCCTATAGTCTTTGTGTACAAACTATAAGTGAAGGTAGCAGAGCATCACAATATCCCAGATTTGATGCTCCAATTTCGACACAAATGCTTCCCTATTTAGAGCTTCCGATGTATATCCGCAGGCTTCTTCAAGAAATCAGAAAGCAGTTTTTTGTGATTGTGAAATGACCTCTTCTCTACTAATTCTTACACATATATAGAAAGAGATTGACGAACCTTGATTTTTTACTCCAAATTGATGTGTATAGCCGTCTGAAATTCGAAGAAATTGTGGCTCCAAGTGGTTATTTGTCGTGTCCAAACCACTAAACCAGAGAGAGAACTCGATGGAGAGGCGAACCAGAGAGATAACTCGAATACGGAATCTACAACATCATCTGCATCTTTTTCGTCTAAAGAGAGAGAGCAGAGAGAGTTGCGGCTTCAACGCGAGAGAAAGAGTAGAGAGAAAAGCTAGGGCTTGATATATAACCTATTGACAAAAACTACATCGTTTTTGTCAAATTTTTAATTATGTTTTCTATTAAAAAAAAAATCATTTATTTGGCTTTTTGGCGCTAAATTTCCCGACAGCGGCTCGGAGAGGGAAAATTTTATTTGGAAAGCTTATCCACGGGGCAAAAAAGGCCCATTGGAAGGCTAAAATAGTATTGTTTATCTACGGGACAAAAAAGGCGCCTTAAATATGAAATCTATTCACGGACTTTATAATACGCCGTAAAAGAACTCAAGTTTAATTTTTTTATTCTTTTCTGTATATATGTTTTGAAGTAATTTTAGTAAGGCTAATTTACGGAAGAGAAAAAAAGGCCTTAAAATGTGAAATTCCACTAATTTATCAACGAGCAACATTTATCCCATTAAAGGTGTACAAATATCGAAAGCATGTAATAATTACGAGAATTCTTTTAAAAACTCCGTAAATGATGGTACGAGGCAAAATAAAAAAGCCCCGTAAATATTATGTCGTAGAAACCCACATTTCTTGTAGTGAGACCAAATTGATTACTTGGATTTAAGAAAAATATATTGTAATTGACAAAATATGACCAAGTCCTTGAACTCATAATATTTTAAGCAATATCATATCCTAAATTTAAAATGTATTTCAGCTGAAGTTTTTTTTTTTTAAGCTATTACCAATTAATGATAGCAAATAAAATCCAAAATAATACCTAATAAAATCACATCACCTACAATTTTGTGGAACGCCTAAATAGTGGTCCATGCGTATTTCTTGTCCAAACTACTCACGATTTTTAGGAAAATGATTCCTAAGCCAACTCAGCTTGTAAACCTTGTATAACGTTGTTCAAGTTTGAATAATAATTAAATTTGAGTCTAATTAAATGAAATTAGTCGATTTTAAATTATTTACAATATCAGAATATCCAAAAATTTATATTAATCTTCTCAATGGTTTAGAAGAAATTTACTCAAAATATAATTTAATATATATGTATTATATTTTATCCCATTTGTTCAGAATCAAGTATTAAATTCAGTTATCAAATAACAAATAATTCTTTAAAAAATAATAATAACAAATAAGTCACAAGAAAAATGTACTTTTGGTAAATTTTTTAAAATATATAAATAAAAAATTAATATTTTGGCCATAACAAAATAAAAAAAAAGTGGTTGTCTATGGGGAGGCCATCCGGGTGTCTGCATAGGAAGAAGGCTTTTGTGATAATCCAAATAATAATAATAATAAATAGACCCACACTTCGGGTGTCTGCATAGGAAGAAGGCTTTTGTGAGTTCAAGTATCCAGTCAATTAATTTAAACAACACTGGAAAAATTAACTGCTACTAGCATCTTCACAACCGTCGGTAAGTGGGATGAATATACCACACCTGAGATGACATGCAACTATGTAAAGAAATAACATTAGTCATATTTCTTCTCTTTGATTTTTAACGTTCTAATTGCTTGGTGGCCTTTCTTGAAGTGCCCAACAGGTCTTACTTTTATCACCCAAATACCATTTGAGAACACTTAATAACTTTCCAATAAATAAGAATATATACGAGAACATTCTTCAAAACAAGACAATTTAACTTTCCTTTGGTAACAATTTTAACAATGTGAAAATGGGATCAGAGATAACCAACAATATATTGGACATGTATAGGGGTGAAATTTTAGTAGTTTGGATCTATTCTTGGTCATAGAACTCTGAAACATCATGAGTTTAGGAAACAAAGTCCTCAAAGTATAAAAATAAAAGAAAAGGTGAAATTTCAAACGTCTTTATGCAATTCAGTACTAAAAACAATATTATAAAACATCTCTACTAAAAATTTCAAACATCTCTACCTTGAAGAATTTTCTCAAAGTTTTGCAGTTGTAAGCTTTTATTATATTTGGGAGTAATCAGTATATGTGTGCAATCCAGGTCAGTTTCTTACATGGATTTTTTCCCTCAATTGCATGGTCACAATATGAGCTTTGATTTTTATGATGGCAAAGATTTGCCTTGAACCGTGAAAATTCTTAGTTTTGGAAGTTTCTCAGGGTTTATTCAGAGATCCCAATTTAAAATGAAACAAAAAGGCAATTTTGAGAATTCTTAGGATTTAACCTATTTTTAAAAATTGGCATGATCACAAAACCTTAAAATTGAGAAAAAGTTTTTTGATTTTTTCAACCAGGATTGCGCCACTTACTAGTGTATCAAAAAGCATCATTTTAGCTCTTTGCTTGATAAAATAAAGTCCAGATTGAGTGCTTAGAATGGGCTTAATCATTCTAGAAATGGCAGACTTGAACTTACTAAAACACTGTCATACTCTTTCACGTACCTCTTATATATATGCTGGAGTTCAGACCATTTATTCTTCAGCATCTCTCCTATCAGATTATTCTTAGACCCTTGGTGTAATGGACAAACTTTATTGCAAACGTGCTCTCATAGTCTTTACAGATCCTTAAATCTTCCAAAAAAAATGCTGCTGTTAGTGACCACCTTGATAATGGCAGATGGAGGATTCCAACTTTATCTTTTTCAATTTCCTTCTTTCTATTGCCTATTCATTCAGGTAAAGACAGAATGGCAGTGTTGGAGAACTTCTCTCCCTGCTGTTTCCTGGTCTTCGCGTGGCACACTTGCTATATCTCCTCCGTCACCATGAATATCCCATACGGAGCGAATACAGAGGCTGCAAGAGAGAGTGCCCCACCGTATTTCCATGACTTCATTAGTAGATCTAAACTGATGCAAGATGGATAGAGATTGTTTGTTAGGCTGACCTCCGATTGAGAAAGTTTGATCTCATATATAAGGAAAATGACTAAACCCCATTTCTGCTTTACAAGTGGGCCTAAAGAAGGAAGCAATGGAACACGAAAGGACCTAACAGAGAATCCTTTTCTTTAGTAATAGACCTAAAAGAACTAGAGGAAGTAGGTCGGTGTGTGAAATAAGGTCCCCTTATTCATAGTTTTCACGACCGCTTTATGCATTTGATGAGGTTCAAGCATCTAATCGAGGTGTTGTAGGGGAGCCTTTCCTTATGGAGCCGATCGATTTTCCATCCAAATTAGAAATAAACCTTGTCAAATACTTAAATGAATAAAGCTGCGGATTCTCAACTTGTGTGTGATGCAACATTGAATGAAAGGGGTGATGGTCTTTTTCCCTCTCCTCTGATAGATGGATTTATTCATCTGGATAATATACAATAGAAGTGGGCGCATCGCTTTCCATTAGCTCCTTTTCTCACTGACACCATATATGGATGGCCTCACTCCAATGGATTTGAAAGAGGTCAGATCATTGTGTTCCAATCCTGACTATCACTTCAAAGCCTTTTTCTTTCCACCACACTGGGGTGTTTGGTTTGCCAAAACGAGGTTTTCTGACCTCAATTCCAAAAAGAGTTACCAGACCGGCCCTCCACTCCTGACCTCAGAGAGGGTTTTACAGTAGAGAAATGTTGGCCTCAGCAATGCATGCTCCTATAGCAGCTTTCTTTAACCCCAGGCGAATGAGTGAGAGATCCTCCTTTCTCTTTCTTGCCCAAGTCGCTGATTTTTCTCTCGATTTCGATATTCTGACTTTCTTTCTATTGACTTTACAACAGGTTCAGTCGAGAGCGAAGTAGAGACCTCGGTTTCAGTCCTTCCGTCGCTCGTGTATCCAGCGAGACAGGTCCACTTTGAGAGTACAAGAACCTCCAAACGAAACTCTCCACAGACAATACAAAGGCAACGAGGTCCAGTGCTTGAAAAAGATCTTTGCTTCGAAAAGATCTTTGCTTCTGAAACCGGGGCCCGTTCCTTCCAGACCTTCATTGGTCTACTCCATTGTATGGGGTCCTATGGTCTCGTATTTCCTGTCTGTTCCAGGGGGAAGGAAAGTGCTTTTTTTACAACATCAGAAAGATTTGGCACCTACGCACGATCACTAAGAAAATCTCAATGATCTATCTTAAATGAAGGTACAGTACTACTTGCTCGCTTCGACAAGAGCTGTAACGAACGGGAAAAACCAAAACACGAACAGATACTCAAATTCGTTCGGGTCCCTTCCATCCTTAGACTTGTGGAAATCATAAATGCCTTCACCTAACTTGATTATCTCGGTCCTTCATTTGGGCCAAGTACTATTTCGATTGAACGAGAGTGACATCCATTAGAACTTTTCTCAGCTTGGAGTTGTTGGGCTATCCGCTCATCAATCTCCTTCTTTCGAGCCACCAACTCCTTTTTGTTTTTCTTTTCTGTACGCTTCTTTTCCTCAAGCAACCAGTCTATTACACTAGGATCTGTTAACTAACTTCAAGGGCAAAAGGATCACCATTAGTCGAGCTTGTTCTCTATTCACCAACAGACTCCTCCATACTTCCTTGAGGATTTGACGTGGAACTCGCTAGAATCTCATTCTTGGCTTTGCTTTTGTGCACGAAGAGGTTGAGGACGAATGACTTATGAATAGAGTGACTGATTCATATGCTGAATTCAATTCTGAAATCTGACTCGACACGTAAGTCAGTATTATAGATATTTTGATCATCATTGAACAAAATGCAAGTGAAAAACACTCAGTTTGGCTACATTCTTGGCAAGGAGAAGCGCATAACATTCATCCCAGAAGCTCAGAAAAGTAACTACATGCTTGGCTTCCTTGTTTATATCTTCTAGCTCAAATCTTTGCTTGCGTGGCAGTATTCT